TTGTCATTATTTCCACAAAATAGTTTGAAAGTAGCTTTTTCATTTAATGTGTTTAGTTCGTGACGAAGAATTTAGGCATCTTAGATATTCTAGCAGCAAAACGGAAACAAACGGTTTTCCCAATTACATACCTATTTATAACCACACCTACTTCCAACCGCGAAATTAATCACCCATGCCAACTCCGAACAGTTAATCCACACTTCGTCACACACATTTTGCGAATACTTACCGCTTACTGGCGAAACATCGAAACATCACATTCGTTTATCAAAGCTTTATGATCAATTTGCAACAGTTCAGTAAATGCCATACAAAAGTTCAACGGAACAATAGCTCAGATTGGTGTCGAAACGAACGCCGAACTAAATCATGATGGGTGTGCATAAATTACTAAGTTTAGATAAGATGACTGTCTGAGGGTAATTAATTAGATTATAGTCATGATATTGAAATGGTCTTGTGTTTTAACTTAAGTGAATTCGTGGGGCTGATAAGTAACTCCGAGTGATATTTATCTAGTGCTAAGTGGGTTTTTTTTTTTTTTGTGAGGGGAAAATCATCAAATGACTTCTCCCGCCCAGGGCCGGGCAGGAGGGAGTGTCAGACTCTTACTGACTAAAAACCCCCCTGTTCCTTCTCCTGCTCTGTGCCGAGGTCGCGGTGCCTCATTGCGCTTACCCCGCAACCCCGGCTGAACATCAGCCCTTTAGGGCCCCATCTGTGGTGGTCTAATGGCTCTTTGAGGCGCGCGCGGAACGCTACGCGCCGTACGCTCGGGCCTGGTTCTGGTCGGGCGGCGAGCTGCCCTTACTCGCCGACCGCAGGCCCGTGCTTACGGTGGCCGGAGATCGTCCCTTGATCCCCGACGCCCGTAGTGTCGCCAGTTGCGGCTGCTGGGGCGTGAGGAGGAGGATTGCTCCCTTACGCGGGCCGCCTCTCTCTTTGCGAGCATGACTGCTTCACAAAAGGAGGAGACGGCGTCCCAGTTCCTCTCACTCCGCACCATGGCCTCGACTAAGGCCGGGCGCGAGAGGTCGCCGCCGCCGATCACTTCCCTGAGGATACGGCGGTGCTCAGCCCAGGCAGGGCATACCGCTACCGTATGCTCCACCGTATCCTCTAGGTGATCCTCACAATGACGACACTCGGGCGTTTCCTCCCGCTGGATCCGAAACAGGAACCTACCGAAGCTGCCGTGCCCGGTAAGCACCTGCGTCAGACGGAAGGTGAGGACGCCGTGGCGTCTCTCAAGCCACTCCTCAAAGAGGGGTCTTACCGCTGCTAAGTGGGTTGGAAATATCTTTTCGTTACAGTCTTTGAAAGGTCTTTCAATTGGCCTAGTAATTGTTTTATTATTGATTTCACACAAGTTAGGTTTGATAATCGTCAGTGCTGCATGTTTAGAATGGTAATATAATTAAATCATATAAAAATATGACGAGACAATAAGACGAAAGGTAAAATTAAAATCTTATTAACGGTTTTCTACCTGAAAATTGTGTTTGTAATGGATATTTAATTTATTAAGTTATCAGTCATGGTAGAAAGTTGAAAACAATTACTACCGTTTGAAATCTAAATGAGGATCTTTCAAGTTTCTTTCGGTGCAAGTTTTCTGTTGGATATGTTATGGTAATTATTGTAATTGAATTTAATGATGATATTGGAAAAGAAGTAAAGGCTTTTTCTGTGTAAATACTACTTGGTTCCAAATTTCATGTTGCCTGAAAGTGAAATTATGATAGTTGAATTATTTATAGCTATAATTTCTCTTATATCTAAGCAACGGTGTTGGCTTGTATATAGCTTGTCCACCTAACGTGGGATTGAAAGCATAATTCACACATTAGTACTTTATTGCCCTTAAGCTTAGACACGATTTTCTGAGAACAGGTATAAGTGGATCGTATTTTATCTGTTGCTACACATTATTTTATAATCACATTAAATCAATTGAAATACGAAAGCATTACAATAAGATTAAATGTGGCCAGTTGTTTCAAATAACCTTAGAAAGTCTATTTCTCTTTGAATGCAAATTTTGCAATTATATCCGTTGTGGTGTTACTTATTGTTTATTACTTTATGCATTTTGCTCATTAACGTAAGTAGTTTAATAATATAATTAGTTGATAAATACAAAAATATGCATAATTATGTTCACACTCAGCCTTTTTTAGTTGCTTTTTAATTTATCTGGCAATAGTATTTATTTAATTGAATGAAATCGACAGCTTTCAAATTTTTGACTTAAAAAAACATTTATGCTTCTTCAAGTCAATAGTCTTGTCCAAGTCAAATACTTCTTCAAATTAATCTTATTAAGTATCTTTGTTTTCTTAGCTCCTAATGTCATCTTCCTCAAATTACCCTTGACATTTTGCCTCCATTGTTTCATTTAGTTCATTCATAATTACATTTATAAGTCTCATGACATAATGTTTGTTTGTTTTCATCTCCTGTCAAATAGTGAACGGTTAATTAACAACAGTGTTATGCAAAATGTTATTGAAACTTTTGAAAAGTTCTTTTTCTGGGTCATCGTATTATGCAATAGTGTTAAGTGCTGTTTTGGCATTTTTAAATGGACTTGATGCATCCAAATCCCCTAAGTCGTCACGATCAATCAGTTGTTTATCTTCTTGTTTTAGATGATTGATTGGTAATTAATGTATGTAGAACTGTAAGTTCTTTGATTTTATTTTTCACGAAACAATTATTTAAATTTCAATTAAGTGTAACGCATCTTTTTGTTCATCTTATCTGGTGGACACATAATGTGATATTTGGAAACCATGATTGTATTATTACTTAAAAAAAAAAAAATTAGCTATTAACTATTCTGTCTATGTAATGAAAACTTCTTAGCATCATATGAAATGAAACCAGTTCTAGTTTTAGATTCTTCACAGTATCTAAATCAGGAAAATCGATTTGGCCGACGCCATTTTCAACATGAATATTTATATCTTTTACAAAGGCAACAGTAAGAACTGGTTTCTGCTTTTTAACATTAGAATTCCTAATCGCCGTAACCGTGATATTTCCTATTCCGATTAGTTGCGTCAGCGCATCTGTCGGAACTGTCGGAAGAAAGTCGTTTTAGATAAACGTTTTCGCTTTTCCGTCAGTGTTATGTGTGTTATTAGTTTAGTGGTGAGAAATATATCGACTGCTTGATATAACAATACGTAATATAGTACGTTATCTCTTAAAACGTTAAGCTTTATGACTATAACTTGTTATGTTTCGTTTTTGGGTTTCGTTATGGCCTTGTACTTTTATAAGTACAATGCCTAATTTTAAAACGCAGTTGTCAATGTTCGTTGTATATAATCGGATCTAGGTCTTAATTTTTAACTTTTAAATCAATTAGTTTTGATGCTTTTTGACAATCGTGGGTTAGGTAACTTACTGTACCTATTTATCTATCGTGACTCGAAATTATTACTGCCAATGTTATGCATAGATTGTTCTTATGTACTTACTGTTATAATTTTGTGCTTTGTTGCGTTAATCTGTTCCTGGTTGCAAGAAGTGATTTGCGTTATAACCACTGCGTTTATATTCAAATACCTTTTATTATTGTGCACCGGTCACAAATGTTACTCTACATTAGCCCCGTTTATGTTTAATGTGATCTGTAATCGTTTCTGTTTTGTTCAAAATTGTAAAGCAAGAGATTTAGTTTGCATGTTTATGGGTATGTTTGTATACTTTGTGGGATAGTTTGTAGTTTACTTAGTATGCTTTGAACAGATTTCATTTTACTATCTCATTTTAAAGACATCGAAAGGGTATCAAGTCTGGTTTTTTATCCTTAAGCTGGACAAATTTTATTAAGCTTCATCTTAAATTACTAGGTTATAGTTTGATAATGCAGTGGAGGTTGTTTGTTTGTATATATTGTATGAAATTGACCAATTATTCTTGTTTTAGATAGCCCAATTATCGAAGAAGCAATTTTTTGAGTTGGGAAAATCATCAGATGATTTCTCTCGCCCAGTATGAGGCGAGTGCGAGAGTCAGACTCTTATACTGACTAAAAACCACCCAGATCCTTTCTCTTACCCATAAAAGCATCGGGCGAAACCGCACGGAAGTAGCTAGTTATAAAATCTAACTATGAAACACTTCTTGCTCGTCACCCAACTCATAATATGTAAACGTTCACTCTCGCTCTTAAAACCGCGTTAAGCATAACTGATACCGTTATTACGTGTGAGTGAAGTTGCGTGCGCGCAGCTTTGCGATACAAATGGCCTTGACTGACATGATCTTGTACAGCATTGATTTGCATGTTTTTCATGCTGTGAGAAATAGGTAATGTTGTCTGTGTGCCTTACTGTTGTTGGTTTTGCGGTTTCAGAGTGTTTTATAAATGAAATTTGGGTTATTTTCTTTGTGGATAGGTATTTCTGAGGTAGTAAATCATTTTTGTCAACTGCGTATTTGTATGAGGTTCTCGATGTACTTTTTAGAGTTCAGTATCCACACGTCCGTTTATCGGAAGAATGTGAAATTATGATGTGTTGATTGTTATTATATTTATTTACGACTTGTTGAGGCAATAGATGAGATGATAGAATAGTTATTATTAATATTTTATTTTATATAAACAGTAAGTAGTCATTAATTTATTTTATGATAGCTCAATATATTGTTATCGTTTATAACTTTCCGTTACCTGGTTATAATAACTCCACGTGAATGTCCAACAATCTGTTGAAGTTTCCTTTTTTTGCGTTATCGAATTGTATTTCTATTAATGATAAGAAGATAAATAAAGAGACATTGTTGTTTTTGTCTCTAATTAAATAGTCATCCTATAGGTTATTTTTATTGTATAAAGACCGGACTTATCTATTTATAATAAGCTTAAAACTATTGAAGGCAAACCCTCCGCTACCGTAGGTCAAAGGTGACCTACGTGGCGTTTAAAGTTTAAGCTATTTCAATATGACGTCAATAACATATTCTTTCTTAATCTTCCCCAGGGTCTACCGTCGTGGTCGCGCGGGCTGGAGGTGGCGGAGGCTGCGCGCACGCGCCTTGTGCGCTGGGCGTGCGGCGAGCCCCCGGCCGAACCCGAGCCGCCGCGCAAGAAGATGCCTCACGCACTACGACGCCGGTGGCCATTGTGCCCCTGTTTACAGGTTAGTAACCAGATCTGATTATTAATGAACCTTATTTCTATACGCTACCATGTTGTAAATATTAGTGTTACACTGTTCTCACATATCTGAACCAACTCAATAACGTACCAAAGAATCTGTATGTGAAACTGATTTAAAAAGAGTAACCATGGAGTTTCTTCCTCGTTCTTCTCCATTTGAATCTACACTTAGGGAATGACCAAAAAGCTTCACTAAGAGGACTGACTGACAGACTCATTTTTTATCTTTAAGCTTTGTTTGACTTTCAAAAGGTGCCTTAAGGGTTCAATTGCAATAAATAATTTTTATTTTAGACCTTAAGCGTATTGGCCACCTTTCATGTTCGGTTTTTTCAATTAACATTGAAATGCATGTGAAATTATTTGAACAAAGTCCGTTTTTTACGACTTTTGCGCATCATACGAATTCATACGATACGATTAACTTAAACAACTTCAGAAAACAATAGACAATAAAGAGAAGTTGAAAAAAAACGTAGTCGTCATTGTCTGTGATACCTGAATCTACATATAAAGTGAGTGTCTGTGTAGTACAGTATTTTAGAACTTTATTTGCAATGCGTTTGCTAAAAGTTTTTACTCGGAATAAAAAACTGTTAGGATGAAAAACGCGCAGTTTTTATCATAGCGCAGGATGGGTGTTACTCTTTTTTCAATTTGTGTCCAGTGCAAATAATCCGTCGCTAGGTTTACCTAATGGAATTGGCGGACTGCTCGCTTGGCACTGTGATTGGCTAACCGGCTGTTGTGCAAAGTGCAACGTATCGCTGCTGGTCCGATTCTTGTATGGTACATTTTTTTGTATATCTTATACATACCTACGATACTGGAAAACATCCAAGGGTGGTAAAGCGCTAACTTCATGTATTGCTGCATACCTCTTGCCACGTTCATCTCTGCGCTATCTAAAAGATGGCAGAAAATGCTCTCTAGCATAAAGTCCTCCGATATGCAATTGTGTATAAGTTTTCTTTGAAATTGACATACGCTTCAGACACAATATTGTTAGTGGAAAAATCTACCATTTAAAAGATTCTGGCAGACTCTGAGTTCATGTAATCAACCCTTTCATGGATTATATGCACTTATTTCGAGCCATCATAGCATCATTTTCGTTCAATAGCTTCGTCGTTCAATAGAATTTCCTTTGACTGACCTAATTTCCCTCATGCCATTGATTATTCTATAATTACTCGTTCTCCATATGGAAGGTAAGCCGCAAGTTATAAAAGGTCAAAGCCCTAGTTATATTATTACTAGCTTCCGTCTTAGTCTTTCAATACAATGCCATCAATTATAATTTCCATATTCCCTTCAACACCGGATATGTAAACAGAAACAAAGTAATCAAGCGATTTGTTGATCAATATCCTTATTGTTGCTTATCTAGTTGATCTATGAATACATGTTATATTTAAGTGATTGTGAAAAAGGAAAAAAGGTCTGTTGCGTCTACGCTTAAAGTTTAGTTCCGGTAAACTTTTTTATTTACTTATTACTTAATGCAGTTTCTTTTTTCAAATGTTGCATGTTGATTTTTTTTTGTTATATGCTTTGAGCAAAAAATATTGGAAGATGCCGCGAAAATTTTCGAAATTCAAATAGAGTCGAGTCAAATTTATGTTGCTCAGGTTCTATAAGATTATCCACAATGAAGATGGAAGAAGGTACATTTATGTTCCGTCCTTTTTGACAGCAACGCATTGCTTGATTCATAGGATACCTTTATTTATAAACTAAGCTGATTAGTGGAAATAACACAACTTCTAATAAGGATTTGTAATGGGCTGTAGGTGTACTGGCTAATTGTTCCGGAACGTGTCAGTTGACTTGATCTAGTAAGGCGACACCCACAATATATCAGATTGCCATTAGGGTCGGTTTCGCCTTACTTTCACCAGCTGCCTAGGGATTTTAAATTTTTGTATTTTGATATTTAAGATCTGTTTTCTACATCATTACCCGTGTATATAAACACGGGAAGGCATTGATGTTTTTGATACACGTGACTAGCCAGATAGCAATGCCTATATCACTATTCGTCCTAGTTCCTACCGAGCCGATTTTTTACCAGCGGGGGTTTGCTTGTGATGTGAACACAGTCACGATACTAATTGCTGAATATTTGCCATTTAGGAAAAAAACCTGTCGAAAATCCGATCACTGTTTTATCTCGATAGATTCTTCTCTTGTTTTCTTATCTGATGCTCAGTTTTACTAAAATATTTATAACAGTTTCAATAGAAAACAAATAAAATAAATAAATAAAATAAAAATTTTTATTAAAACATTGAACACGTTTACAATTACAGATGGCTCAGATTTTATAGTAATAAAAAGTCTTAATAATAAAAATCGTAATAGTTAACTTAATCTAGTCTAATACAATACATATGTGAGGAAATAACGTTCTAAGTCTAAATATTAGGGACTACCCGAACTAGGTTTATTTAAACCTGTGTTTCAGGCTATCAATGCAAAAAATAACAAATCAAAAAATAAACGAAAGCAATCAACTTTTTGTAGCCTCACCAGCACTTGCTATCAGACTGGTTCCATCTGGAACGTGTTTACCTGATGTCTCGTCTCCAAAGGTTGAAGGTTAGACACAGTCAACAAGTTGGCTATTCAACATACCCATTAGTGAAAGTTAGAAGTCAAGGACTTCATTTTTGTTGAGGTTATTCACTCTTAATGTTATTAGTGTTAAGCTGTTTTGTTTTGAATTATACATGAGGCTTAGTGTTGGCAAGTTCAGCTTAAGTTATTAATCTAGGTGTTTAGTTATATGAAGGTACGCTCCTATGAGTTCTTGGGTACTTAGAGATTGTTAGTAAAGGTGGTGTTCCTTTATAATTCTCATAGTCTATATTGGGTAAATCTTATTTCTGAACCGTTTTTTGCCAACTCAAATAAATTATAAATTAGGATGACTGTAGTAATAATGCTGTCCAAGGTGTATGTTTGATTTTACATTAAGATAATTATCTTAATTATAATTAATTATAATTAATTATAATTAATTAGTAATATTTTTAAGATTGTTTGGTTTTGTCGATAGCAAAATTCAGTTCAATGACTCTCAAGTCTAAATTTCTCTAGACCGAACTTACTGTAATTACTAAGAATAAGCAGTTGATCATAGATAGCATTGAAATATTTCCAACCAACGAAATCTAAGTCCTGAACTTTGAATTCAATGTACTCTTCGGAATCTTTCTTTCCCAATCAGAGAAACGAGTTGCAAAATTTTGTATACCTCTAGATTGAATACTATAAAGATATAATTAACATTTGAAATGGCATAAAGGCACCAGCCACTCCCATCTATACTTGTAGCTTAAGTGTTCATAGGATATAAAGGATTTATTGCACATGGAAGAGGGAGTTCATGAAAAATAATAAGTTTTCATTGACTGCCTTGCAGGTCGAGAAATGACGATCAAGGTATAACTTCTGAACGAAACCATTTTGAAGACGTTTGCGTTTGATATGAGTGAATGAGAGAGTCATATTTATTGAAAAGGTGTTAACATCAGCTAGTCAGTTTTCTACCTTGTTTTAATTCGTTTTTTGTTTATAAATGCATTATTTATTTGATATCCATTAATTATACATTTTGTTTCTTCTTTTTCTTTATGCATTTTGTTGTTAGTTTCTTTTAATTTTATTTATTCATTTACAGTTTTAAGTTTCTGTTTTGTCTCTAAAGGAGTATCTTCATTTAAAATGATATCATCTACAAGAAAAATCTGTCTACATTCCTTCAAATTTGTTTGCCTTTTTATTTTATATCTCTAATCTCACATGTTTACAAGTTCGACAGTTTGTTCAATCAAGATGCGCGGAAGTAACGGTTTAGTGTGTGGACGGACAGACATCTGGTCGACAAACTTACAAACTGGTTTAGCCAGTGTGATGATTCGACGATATAGATGTTACTCGCCATTCACCTGATACACTTACTAATTGCTAATTGCAAGAACTGGGCCGAGAATTTATGGTTTGATAGCTTTTAGTTTTATACTGATGTTATTCGGGAAGTAGGTTACCATAGAACTTACATATGCAAAAGGGATTTCTTTCTCGCTGTAAGATTTTTGATCGCCATAATGTGTTTCAAGTGTTTTAAATTGTCTGTAAGTAATTGTACATGATGTATCGTTTGATCTCCATTTGTCCTGGGAAACAAGTATAGTCTTATTCTAGAAAATATTATAATTGTTGGTATTTTTGAAAAAAAAACTAGCTCAAGTCTCAGGCTCTTAATGTTATTCATTTGTATGAGTAATCCTCATTGTTATTTTGTTTGCTTTGAAAGTTAACAAACTAGTTTCAATGATCCTCTTGTCTTAAATCAAGAGCGAGAAACGGACGAGCCGCTTAATCCAATGCTTTTTGAAAGCAAAGAAAGCTTATTAACGACATTTTCTATTCATTGTCGCAGAAATTTCGCAAAAGTGAAATTATATCCGATATCCGTATCGATACGATTTTCAAAGTGTTAATGTATTGAAATTTTGTGCAAATTTTATTGTCCCATGAGCTCAGTTCAGAGGTTAACTAGCAGAATTTATAGAGAAATCTGTCGTTCCATAATTTTCTAATAAAAAAATTAACATTCCTTACGAAAACGAAGACGTATTAATCAAAACTATGATACGTCTGTTGGTTCAAATAAAATGTGCTGTTGTGGTTTTTCTTAATTTTTATTGTAATTTATTCTAGCAATTTGTCACGGTGATTCTTTTTTAAGCGAAATGTAACTTCTTTTTCTTTAATCTTATTTTTGTTATTCATAAGAAATTGATTGATAGACTGGCGTGTTATTTATATTCTCAGTTTATAGGCTTAACCTAGTGGTATGCTAATTCCAGTAGTCAGTAGGTTATGTTCGAATTATAATACCTAACAGATTTACTAGATATTTATCAAATTTTATTCTTGATTTAATTAATTCGAACTATGTTTGTTTTCTAT